TGACAACATGACACTGCCAAATACTTGTATCAGCAAAAAAAAAAAAAAAAATAATAATAATAACAATAATAATAATAATAATAATAATAATAATAATAAAAGTAATCTGATAGACTTTTAAAATCTCCATTGGTTTAACATCAGGATAACTAAAAAGATTGTGATGGCAAGATCTATCGTAAACATAACATGTGCAACATGACCTATAACATCACGTGTACACATATGGCACCATATTAAGTTAATTGTCCTCATACAATCATACTGTGTACCAGGAGACAGGCACTAAAGAGCCTGCTCCATCAAACAAACAGCTCCCACACAGAGACATCGGTCCCAAAGGCCTCTCATAGGGCCCTGTGCCACTGCTCTAACTCTCACAGCTCTTGACTGTTTCTTTATCAGAATAATCAGATAATCAATAAGGCTGAGTTTGTGCTGCTCTTCAGAGTGCTGTGAGCCGTCGGGGCCTGGACGGGGGGGCTCTTTATGGGGCCAATAGTGAGGCTCTCAGCTCCACTGCCTTCAGGAGAGGGGCCGTAAAACACTGCTCAAGCCTGGCACCTCACACTCACACACCGAAGATACCACTGTTCACTGGGAAAATGTATCACCACCACTTTGTGATTTTCCGGGGAAGTCTTAGTTCCTGTTTTAGAGTGGGCATTATTACACATCCCTCTAAATCTGTTCCCTTCCTTCTTGTATAGCTCCTAAAATATCTACACTCTTCTGCAGATTTAGGCACCTCATTACTAATCACCGAAGCAACTGTGAAAACAAATATAACACCCACCGTATGTGCAAAAGAAATATGTGCCGTTAGTACATGTGTCAGAACCATAGACTGTACAATAAAGTAAACTTTGAGGGAGTGTGACATCACCCATAGTGTTCAGCTCCAGTCAAATAAAGCTTATGATGCTAGCAGTTATATGAGCGAATTTGAAGCCAGGTCCATACTAGGAAATGTAATTTATTAACGTACATAATAGCAAAATAAAAACACCAGGATCTTGTAGAGTGGGTTAATACCATAGATATTGCGTTTGCTCAATGAGCTAGCCACCATGTTCCAAATAGTAAGTTCGCCAGAAGGCTCTTACGGCTCCTACTGACCCTGGCTCCAGTTGACTTACATTGGGATCTTGTCCCACTCTCTGTAACTGCTGCAGTGAGATTAATCAGCTCTATATGATCAGATCTATATGATCCTGAATTTTTTTTTTTTTTACGCTATGTTGTGCATCAAAAAAATCCTCTTCATAATATGAAGACTGGCTTCAGATTTGCCCCTGTAACCGTTAGCATTATGAGCCTCATTTGAGTGGCGCTGAACACCATGGGTGATGTCACACTCTCTTAGTCCACTTTTTTTATACAGTCTATGATTTATATATACAGTCTATGGTCAGGACTAGGGCTGCACAGTTTGGGATAAAAAACAAACAGCATTTGTCTGACAAGTATTGTGACTGTGATTTGATTTTACGATTTAAAAAGTAAGATTCAGTTCAGAGTGCACACTGTGAACAACTCCTGGAGCATTAACACTTGGAGAAGACTGAAATACGAACTGACAAACTAATACAAGAATCCCATGCATTTGTAGAAGTCTTTAAACTGTAGATACGGCAAGTTCTTCCAATAAAAAGACTATAATATTTTGTTCTCTGCAGAGGACATTCTTTTATCCAAATAATTGCAGGCACAATGTAAGTAGCAACTGAATCACAAAAGATAATAAATATAGACACAGACAAATATGTATTCAGAGGAACAAAACAATAGTAATGCATTCAGTAGCAACAGTGAACGCAAAGTCTAAGCAGACCGTTGGGAGTGTGTTGACAAATCAGATAAAGCAATGGTTCCACTGAGACAACCAAAGGGTCAGGGCCCAGATGTGGAGACAGTGCAGAGCGAGACAGCTGTTTTAGATGCACTTGAGTCTGGAACTATTCTCATATAATTTGTGTAAGTGTCTGCTCCTAACAATACAACGTCTGATACAATAAAGACTTTATTAAACACAAGTGCATGGACATATTTTTTACACTACTGTGTGTCAGTTCGTTTGAGAAATGTGAAAATGCTATATGAATATGTGGAGCAGACATCAGCCATGTTCTAATCTGTATATATAAGCAGTCCTAACCCACTAGCCACTCCTCTTCATATAGGAAGTGAGAATGGAGGCGCTTATGGCTCCATCCATCCACTCAGGTTCCAGTTGAGTTTACATTACCTCTCTCTGCAACTGCTAGGAGCCTTGTCATTTTGGTCTTAAAATTTAGTATTAACCCGCTCTACATGATGCTGGTGTTTTCATTTTGCTATTTTGTACGTAAATAAATCCCTATTCTTAATATGGAACTCGTCTCCATATTTTCCCCTATAACAGCTGGCCTTGTGAGCTACATTTGAGTGGAGCTGAATGCTATGGATGACGTCATACTCCCTTAGTCCACTTCTTTATACAGTCTATGGGTAATGCATTGAGAAAAACATAGTGAATTTGAATTTCAGTCCGTTGTAATTTGTCCCTCCTTGGTCTATGAGTGTCTTGACGAGTGACAGGAACATGATTGTTAGAGAACATGTGCTCAGATAGTGGTTTTAGGGGTCAAAGGTTAAATATCCAATCAGCCCTGAGCACCACTAAAGCCCTGCACACCAGGATTTAGAACAGGTTTGCTCCTAAATCAATAGGCGTCCGTGACAAGACTGCAGCCCTTAATCCTGGCCATGTCTTTATAAATACGCCTCTGATATGAGATTGTAAATGAGTGTGCGTGCCCTGCCTGTATTCATACGCAAATGATACAAACGCCTGCAGATGCCTGGACACACAATGAGAACAATATAGGCTCTGATCATGACATGCAGAACTGATGCTGTCTGAATTTGAATGAATACATGTTATTAATGCCCCAAAGACAGACATTTCATCAGCAACTAACACCATAAATAAACACATTCCCTCACCAGATTTTAGTGCCTCCATTTAAATACATCAAGTGTTTTCTTACAGTAAATTGAGAAAAAAAAATGTGTCGAGTATCAAACATTTATCTACAACAATGCACTGAAATGCTGACCTCATTAAAAGGGGCACTATGTAACTTTTCTGGAGGAGGGTACGCCATCTGCTTCTCTCCATGGTGATGCTATTGCTTTGTATGGCATTACTCTATCTCCATGGAGACAAACCTGTGTCAAGTCTGATCTGTGACTGCGAAGAGCCCCCATTTACAAGATTTTTAAAGATATTTTCTGGCAATAAAAAATATAATTGAGCAAGCAAAAGCAAGAACATATCCATATAGACAAGCACATAGTGGACTGTCCTCCATGTATAAATCAATTCATTCATATAAAATAAACATAAATAAACATACAAACATATATATAATGTATAATGTATAATTGAAAAAAATTTATACTGGGTGAACAATTCTTGAGTGGATAAACTGACTGCTGTATCTCCAAACAAGGATCTCGACCTTAACAGACCAGGTCCTGTCACAAGTTTCGTCTCCATGCCCAGTTCTGCTGTGACCCCTGACCTCTGCCCTTTCACTTTCGTCATTCACACATTTTCGCCTGTCCTCCTCTTCCTTTCTGCTTTGCAGTTGTGCACTTTTCCCTCCCTTGACGGCCTCGTTCCTCTCAGGACTGCTGCGCTTGTGATGGCCGTCAGCTGCAGCCCCTGATAAGCCCGTGCATTGATTCCATCAGTCTTGAATCTATTCAGCGTCTCCTCTGGGAGGGTGAGGGGAGAGCGCAGGGTGAGGAAGGGCGGGATGGTCAGGGGGGTGAGAGGTGGGGGGAGTGCTTATGTGGTGATGGGGCCAGGATACGCTGACTTTGGGACACATGCTCAGAGGGCATCTCCAGCCTTCACTGACACTTCTAATCAGCTCGCCACAGTGTTCGGACTAGACCATTACTGGGAATAGCAGGATTATAGGAGCTGTGCTGTGGTGCCAAAAATATTTGCCCTGACAAATGTACTGTACGCTGTAACACTGTGGACTTAATTAAACACAACCTGATATCAAACCTGACCACTGGTAAAGCAAAATATATTTAAAATCTAATTATAATTTACATTATTAACCAATATTTTTTTCTTTATTTTTCTGTATTGATATATAGTTAGCCGAGTTCATACCTTGCTTCAAGTCTATTGATATCATTTTAAATCTTGAGTTACATTACATTACCATGCATATGACAGGTTTTCATATTTTTGTAATTATTAAATGGTTTGGTATTTTTTGCAGTAAATTAAACTTAAGTGTCAGTTTATGTAAAAAAGTACAAAAAAAGTACAAAACTACAGGATGTTGTGCTGAGTTTTACAATTAAATACCTCTAAATATGTCATCAATACAAATAATTCATGCAAGGAACTCATTCTTTCTGATAGTTCTTTTAACAAAGTAAAGGTGTTTGCATGTGCAATTTAGACAAATTTTGGCCCTTGTTAACATTTCAGTTGCTAAGTAATAATTAAGGAATTACCTCTATCATATGTCAGAGCTGCCACAGTCCAACACTGTCCAACCAGGAAGTAAAATTATAAACTTAACCAATATTCAATACTACTACTACTACTACTACTACTACTACTACTACTACTACTACTACTACTACTACTACTACTACTACTACTACTAACACTACTAATAATAAATAAATAAATAAACTAAATACTTTTTTTGTGAATCTTAAATATTATTCTGTGAAGTAGGTTTCAGTGAAATATTGTAACCTGTCATATGCACTCTGACCAGAACAGCACCAGTTGAACACATGAGGAGCAGAACTGTGGATGAAAGGGTGTGGGGTCTCAGGAGAATAGCTCTCTCCAGTGCCCACAGCACAGAGCACATTCAGGAGCCGCTCTCACAGAATGCTAAACAGGCATCAGGGGCCTGCTGTCAGGGCCCATCAGTGGTCCTTTGATTCACTCAGCACAGAGCACTGCCTACCTTAAGCTCATCACTGAGACGCTTCGCCAAGGGGCTGCTTTCCTCAGAGACAGAGATCTACAAGAGACAAGAAAAAACACTACATTAGAACATACACACGTAACGACTGTTTGGACCAATAAGTGAACAGTGATGTGATGTGGATCAATAATGCATTAGGATATTAGGTCACATGAGTTTATGGATTTTTTTCCCCCCTGAATTAATCTGAATTAAAATGGCTATACCAGATTTTTTTCCCCATAGTTCCACATAACTTCTATAAGCAGTTGTTAGGGTCAAAATAAGACCACTGTGTGCTATCTGCATCTAACCATTTCATCATCAGAGAAACAGGAAGTACACTGTTAACATGCCTGTTGGTATCAGCAGTGTTCTTGTTGCGCTGTGAAAAGTGCTTAAACAAGCATCGCTGTGAAGAATTAGGATGCCTTGCCAGGTATGCTACTATTTAAAATGAACTAGTTCAGTTGTTCACCTTTTGAAAGCAAAAACAATCTGATAAGGTGCCTTTAATTTAAAACACTAAATTCCAATGCTAGCGTGACAGAAAGATCAGAGTTGGTCATAGAAAGGCAATCACCTCTCTGTGAGTCTGACCCAGAGTAGCTATGGCGACAGGAGAAGCGCCACAGTGGTATTAGTATGAAGAGAGAGTGATCGTGGAGGCCGCTCTGTCGATTTCCTGCCGTCGGCTGGATCAGAGCTGTTGTGAAATGTGCCGAGTGTGAATAAATGTCTAATAAATATCCACTCCAACAGTTACATGTTTCAGTGCGTGCTCCCGGCTTCAGAAAGTGATAATACCTCATATTGATTTATTTTGATGAATAGCATTGATTGCCGCCAAGTGATTTTGCACACAATAAACACAGCTGAAGAATGAAATGGTCTGGAGCTATGAATAAGTAAATACTAATAACATGATCTGTGATGATACATGTCTGTGAAGTTCAATACACAAACATGGACAGTTTCACATGGTGCACTGGTGAACGAGAGTGGGGGAAATTACAAACCAACTGGAATTTGCTATTAAAAAAAACAATCTAATATATCATAAAATTATATAAATGATCACAACACATTGCAAATTAACTACTAGATAGTAGATACTAGATCTGATACTAGAGCTGATCAGAAATTCTGTTTTGAAGATAAAGGTGGTATTGTAAAATTCTGGATCTACTGCCAAGTCTTAGCAAGGACACCTCTAGTTCATTGTTGACATTTCTCTGTGGTTAGCTTTGGCATCACCCAACTATTACAGAATGTGTATTTCTTTACCATTATCAGTTTCCTTGGTCAACTCGTCTCACAGAATAATTATGCTCTTCTCATTTTATCTCGGCCATCATGTCTCCGTACTGTCCTTCTTAGCTCCTAAACCTCCTTGTGTGGAAGCATAGTCAGACTTGAATAACCAATACTAATGTGCAGTGCTGAGTATACGACACTTATTTATTAACAGGTGGGACATAAAAAAAAAAAATCTAATATTACAATTGTTGTTAATGTCATATGAAAATTACATATATATTGTCTATAATAAAAAAAACATGGGGTGCAAAAAAGCTGGTTATAAAATAAAACAAACTTGCAGCAAAATCTTTCAAACTCCTTTCTGTGTGAAGTTTGCATTTTTCTCCCTGTGGCTGGGTGAGGTTCCAGGCACCCTAAACATGCACCTTTCATACAGTCCCCTAGCAAAAATAGTCCTGTCCAAACTGGAGATGATCCACTGCTCCTAACAGGTTGCACCAGCTGCACTAAAGGATGGGTCAAATGTAGAGGTTAGTTTTCAATTATAAATAGGAACTTATATCCATATTTTAGAAAAGTTAAGGTGGATTGTAAAATATTATTGCTGCACTTCCCTACTTATAATGTGCCTGGCAATACCTGATTGTACTAACTAGCCCTATAGAGCCCATTAACATGAGCTGCTCCAATTGGCTGTTTCTGTGTCTATCATCAGCTACAGTCCTGGAGTGGAACCAGGCATAGAATAAAGCTTCCCTTTTACCTTCTCTGAGCTGCATCCAAACACCCAACATCTGTGCTCTCCAATCTGCAGTCTCGGCGGCCTCCACAGCAGCCCACATTTATCCCCATAAGTGCCCTGTATTAGCACTATAACTGCTGCTGTAACGGCTGTGGATGACGGCATTACCATGTGCCAACTGCGCATCTGGCTTTATGGCACAGTAACAGACGACCTCTACACGGGCACACGGCTCTGTCCCTGACCCACACTTTGTCAAACACCCCTCCTGTCCATCCTTATAAATATTAACACAATGACGACAACACCCATGTATATGTTGAGATTCCCAGATATAAAAAGTCCTATATTATGCAGAACTAACTGCTGTGAGTTTTTGGCCATGTTAAAATGTTATCTGATCAAAAACATACCTTGAGTTCTGTTTTGTTTCATTCACACATGTTTGAGTAGTATTATATTATAAGTCTGTCTATTAAAGCTCAAAATACTCCTCCACCTTGTGATGTCACGAAACAGTAGTTTTCAAGTTCACAGCTACTTTTTACCTTAAGTTCATTAGGAGTGATTGGCAATTCAAGGGCTGAAATAATCCAAATCATTCCAGTGAATGTGTATGGAGTTTAAAAACACAGTGGAGCAGTTTCTGTATTACCACATGACATCACAAGGTGATGTCAAAGAACTCAGCCTAAATGTGCAGGGTTTGTGTGTTAAACATGTGTGAATGAAACAAAACACAACTCCAGGTATGTTTGTGGTGAGACAACATTGTAACACAGATCAGAGTAAAACTAAAATTAAAAATGCATAATAAACCTTTCATCAATACAAAAACTAGAGATGCTCTGCAGCATATTACAACTAAATATCGACTTTCCAACTGTAGTCCCTGATTTTTCCCATTGTATTATTATTACTGAAATCTTGTGTGGAAAATTGCATTCTTTTGAATTAAGGGCAGATTTCAGTGTGGTATTGAAATTGGTATAATATCAAGCTTTTTCTAAACTGTGTTTGAATGACAACGCTACTTGGCGCCCTGCAGTTCTTGTTGATCACAGAATTTGAAGATGTGGTGGAGGTGTGAGTGATTCCATTTCCTTTATGACGTATTTGGAATAATAAACTCCACATCTTATAGTGTGTCCAACAATCAAATCCTCTAGTTTGGAAGTCCTGACCACACCCTTAAATCTGGACATAGGCAGGTACTGCTGCTCATGACAGGCTGCCCTGAGTGGCATTGAAAGATGGGTAAGCATTGGTCAAGTATGCCTTAAAGGTGCACTATGTAGCTTTTAGTTTGAGGATAAATCACCTGCTTGTTTCTATGGATACATCATTACTCTGCCTGGAATGTTCGATGGTATAACATTAAACAGCACTACCTTACATTTATTCAATTACACATGGTTTTATAGCTCAAAAATACCTACAAACTGTGAGCAAGGTTCCCTCTCCACAGATCCAGTTTGGTCTCCATGAAGACAGAAAGGTTAAATGCCATACTGTGAAACATTACAGACAGGAAAAGCATACGACTGGCCCTCCAACAGAAAATTTACACAATGCACTTTTAACTAATTAATCCTAACAACTGAGAAAGAAGGAACTTGAATCTGATTGCGATATATATATATATATATATATATATAAATCCAGAAAATGAAAATCCTGATGTGGGCATTGAGCACAGCTGGAGCACACAGATCCAGCTGTGGCTGTCATGTCTGCACCTGCATAGTGTGATGGCACTGCACACCTGAGGCATAGGCACAGCAGCCACACACCCATCACAACACCATCTTAGGTTAGAAATGGACTGCAAGTTACTCTTACATCACCATCTTTACTGTACTTTCCAAATTATTTTAGTCCAATGGTATCCACTAACACCTATGTCCTTGGTTATGGTTGATTGTAAAATTCAGAAAATCCATAAAATGTATGTGATTCTTGTTTTCATTCAGCAGTTTATATACAATCCAGTTCTATAAATTTGCCAACATACTGCTACTACTACTACATAAAATGAACATATATCACTTCCTTTTATTTCTCTTAAATACTGTGCAGCACTATAGTGTTTAGAGCGCCACACCAGAAACTCCCCATGCACTGTAAACCAGTACTTGCTTGATCGTATTCTCAAATGACATTTCAAACATTTATATTATTTTCTTTACAATGTACATTCTGTATTTGTTTTGCCCATGGGACTGCTGATGTCTATAGTACTCTGCATCAAAGCTACAGAGAAATCCAAACTCCACACATCAAAACATGAAAACTACATTTGCTACAGCTAGCCCCACATCCCTGACAGCCATTGGAGGCTGACAGTCCGCACACAAAGAGAACAGAACTGCCTCCCTCACAGTCTCCGTGGACACCTCTTGTTTTATTCGGTCCAGTTTGTGTGTAAACCAGAACAAACGTTGTATTCCTCTGCTTGTCTTCATGTTGGCTGCTCCGGTTTATTTTTAGATCGTCTCCACAGATCTCTTCCTCCTGCAGGCCCCTCCTCCCCCCTGCTCGTACCTTCACTCTGACTCACGCTCTGGAGTGAGGCAGGTGCGACTGATGGAGTCATGGGCCATTTCTCATACGCCCCATTGCAAAGTCTACACCCTAACACACACACACAGATGCACATGCACTAAAGCCACATGAGAGACAGCAAAGCATGACTACTCGACTATAGATGACAATTATGTAAAAAAGTTAATGTGAATTGCTACATTCTACATACAAAGTAATTACTGAATCAGATTAAGGTTGTCAAAAAAAGTAAACTTAAATATTCTTGCAATGAAACTATAGTTTTTATTTTGATCAGAAATACAGTGTAAGATGGTGGTTAGAGCAATGGTCCCCCAACCCAAAGGTCAGGATATCAGTTCCCACTCAAACCAAGTTCTGTTGTTGTGTCCTAAGGCAAGACATTTCACCTGCTTTGCCTAGTATGAATGTGGTGTGCACGTGAATGAATGGTGATGTCATAGGTGTCGATGGTGCAGATTGGCAGCCTTGCTTCTGTCAGTCTGCC